GGCAGTTATGAATTTATAAACACAGAAAACCCCCTTGGGAGGGTTGGAAGGATTGCTAACCTACCAGAGACCTTGTTGGATTTGGGGGTAGCTTCTGATAGGCTTATTAGCATGCAGTTTCTTTGATTGTTTTTATGTTTTCTCTCTTATGTTTTCACCTTAAGAATAAGTGTGCTTGCTTAGAAAGGGCTGTGTACCAACTCAACTGTGGGCAATGATGCTGTGTATGACTTCTGAGGAAAGAAGGCAAAGCAAGCTGCTGAGGCACTTTGCTAAGCTGGGGGACTCCTAGTGCAGGCCGGGAGCTGTGCAGCCTGCATTACTTCGAGCAGCAGGGAGGGAGATGTGGGGCTCTGCACAAGGTGTTGCCTGGGAGCCTAAGCGCAGGTGCCCCTGCTGGACTCTAGTGAGGGGCCCAGGGGCCTCTTGGCATCACTGCAATCCCAGAATTCAAAAGCGTAACTGGTCCCAGGGGCGCCATTTCAGATTGGGGCAGGGGGGACTTTAACCGTGATTCCAGAGGCTACTTGGGCACCTGAAAACTCTGGGTGTTTTTTTCTTCTACCTTTTTTTTTTTTTTTTTTTAATCTGTTGATACTTACCAGGGAATCCATGAGTGGCGATTGATGCATCGGCAGTTGATTTAGCGGGTCTAGTGAAGATCTGCTAAATCGACTGCAGATCGCTCTCCTGTCAACTCCTGTACTCCACCGGATTGAGAAGAGTAGGGGGAGTCATCGGGAGAGCGTTTCCTGTCGACATCGTGTAGTGTGGACCCCACGATAAGTAGATCTAAGCTACGCTGATTTGAGTTACGCTATTCACGTAACTCAAATTGCGTAGCTTAGATCGATTTTCCCCTGTAGTGTAGACAAGGCCCTAGATACAGTGCTCCTTTCAGATAATAATTTCTAATTCCTATATAAAGAAAGAAAATTAAATAAATATTAGACCCACTCAGCTCTAATACCTCGTGTCAATTCACTTAAGGGACACTGGTTAGGTTTAAAATTTTAATGTGTATTCTTACTTTGTTACTAATTCTTGAATACAAGAATTGAAACAATTGTAGAAAAATCCAGATTACTTTCTATCACTTTTTTGCAGTTCATCAAGCTTGGAATAGATCATTTAACTTTTGGAAACCTCCTACAAAGGCAAGGCCCCATGAGTTTATACGGCACCTGCGTGGGGCTCTAGGGTTGTTACCCCACTACAAATAATAGACTAGAAACTGACTTTAAACAGGAGTGAAACTGACACGGTCAAAAAAAAACTAGGAGTCCTTGTGGCACCTTAGAGACTAACAAATTTATTTGGGCATAAGCTTTCGTGGGCTAGAACCCACTTCATCAGATGTATGAAGTAAAAAATGCAGGAGCAGGTATAAATACATGAAAGGATGGGGGTGCTTTACCAAGTGTTAGGTCGCTCTAACGAGATAAATCAATTAACAGAAGGATACTAAGGGAGGAAAAATAACTTTTGAAGTGGTAAAAGAGTGGCCCATTACAGACAGTTGGCAAGAAGGTGTGAGTAACAGTAGGGAGAAATTAGTATTGGGGAAAATTAAATTTAGGTTTTGTAATGACCCAACCGTTCCCAGTCTTTATTCAGGCCTAATCTGATGGTATCTAGTTTGAAAATTAAACTAAATTAAACAAAACCTAAACTTACTTTCCCCAGTACTAATTTCTCCCTACTGTTACTCACACCTTCTTGTCAACTGTCTGTAATGGGCTACTCTCTTACCACTTCAAAAACTTATGCCCAAATAAATTTGTTAGTCTCTAAGGTGCCACAAGGACTCCTCCGTTTTTTTGCTGATACAGACTAACATGGCTACCACTGAAACCTGACACTTTCAAGTCACTTTCATAGTATTGCCAACCCCAAATGTTCAAAAATCATGAATCAGGCTCACCAAAAATAATGAGATTATGTAAAAATAATACATTTGGTGTTCTATTTATTTACATTCTGCTTTTTGAACCTTTAGGGTGCACTGGGGTCACATTTTGAAGCTTTCTCCACAGCCACAAGCGCTAGAAACTTCATTTCTCTTTAAGAATGAAGGATGAGATCATCACATATACACTTGACTCCAAGAGCTAGGGCTTTAAGGAAAACAATAATTATCATGAGACTCATGACAAAATCATGAGAGTTGGCAACACTGCCTTCTGTTTAGAGACTAGTTACTTTCCAGAAGGGTCTTAAACACAACACTACAGTCTTTGAGTTGCAGTTTTCACAGGAGACTATTTAAAACCAAATACCAAGAAAATTCCACTTTTTAAAGTTGTGAAAAAAAAGTGGGACTTCTGAGGTATCTCAAGGCTACTGCAGGCAGGAAAGAAAAATAAACAGCACAGGAGCTCTGGGAAGCTCTTCCTCTTGAAAGAAAGTTGGAGGGTCAAATCTTCTAGATGTTAACAAGTAAAACTATTGCCATCAGTGCCTCCACTCATAGATATTAACACCGCAGTGAACGTGTGATAACATGTATGGTCAATAACTATGTACTTCATACTTAAAAAGCTGAGCCATCTTATTCAGAGATACACATCATATACGCATTGGCTCAGGAACAACATTTTCCCACTAGGTGCCTTTGAAAATCTGGCCTTTAGTCTGTGTGTCCTAGGGTGACCAGACAAAGTGTGAAAAATTGGGACAGGAGATAGAGGGTAATAGGCGCCAAATATCAGAACAGTCCCTATAAAATCAGGACATCTGGTCACCCTAGTGTGTCCCTCAGTGCACCATCAGTACAATGGAGATAACAGCACTGCTCTATCTCACCAAGGGAATGTGATGTGAAGCACTCAGATACTATGGTGATGGGGCCACATAAGTACCACAGGTAGAGTGGGAACTTCTCTATATCACTGGTTTCAGAGTGGTAGCCGTGTTAGTCTGTATCAGCAAAAACAACGAGGAGTCCTTGTGACACATTAGAGACTAACAAATGTATTTGGGCATAAGCTTTTGTGGGCTAAAACCCACTTCATCAGATGCATGGAGTGAAAAATACAGTAAGCAGAATATATATTACAGCACATGAAAAGATGGGAGTTGCCTTACCAAGTGGGGGGTCAGTGCTAATGAGCCAATTCAATTAAGGTGGAAGTGGCCTGTTCTCAACAGTTGACAAGAAGGGGTGAATACCAAGGGAGGGAAAATTACTTTTGTAGTGCTAACGAGGCCAATACAACCAAGGTGGCCCATTTCCAACAGTTGACAAGAAGGTGTGAGTATCAGCAGAGGAAAATTACTTTTTGTAGTGACCCATCCACTCCCAGTCTTTATTTGGGCCTAATTTGATGGTGTCCAGTTTGCAAATTAATTCCAATTCTGCAGTTTCTCATTGGAATCTGTTTCTGAAGTTTTTTTGTTGAAGAATTGCCACTTTTAAGTCTGTTATTGAGTGTCCAGGGAGACTGAAGTGTTCTCTTAGTGGTTTTTGAATGTTATAATTCTTGATGTCAGATTTGTGTCCATTTATTCTTTTGTGTAGAGACTGTCCGGTTTGGCCAATGTACATGGCAAAGGGGCATTGCTGGCACATGATGGCATATATCACATTGGTAGATGTGCAGGTGAATGAGCCCCTGATGGTGTGGCTGATGTGGTTAGGTCCTATGATGGTGTCCCTTGAATAGATATGCAGACAGGATTGGCAACAAGGTTTGTTCCTGGGTTAGTGTTTTTGCTGTGTGGTGTGTAGTTGCTGGTGAGTATTTGCTTCAGGTTGGGGGGCTGTCTGTAAGCGAGGACTGGCCTGTCTCCCAAGGTCTGTGAGAGTGAGGGATTGTCCTTCAGGATAGGTTGTAGATCCTTGATGATGCGCTGGAGGGCGATCAGCCGGTCCCATGGATTCGGCGGCGGGTAGGCAGAAGCCGCGGGACCGGCGGACCTCCCGCAGGCATGCTGCCAAAGGCAGCAAAAAGGTAGAGCTGCCCCTGGCTGGAGAGGTTTTAGTGGGGGCTGTAGGTGACATCTAGTGGCATTCTGTTACTTTCTTTGTTGAGCCTGTCTTGTAATAGGTGACTTCAGGGTACCCTTCTGGCTCTGTCAATCTGTTTCTTCACTTCACCAGGTGGGTATTGTAGTTTCCCTGCTATCCCTTCCCTGGATTTTAGCCCCTTCTTTTCACCTACCCCCCTCCTATCTTCCTCTTTTCTGAATGTAAACTTGGCTCATAGGGCTTGGCTGTATTTCTTCTGAGTCCCCTGTGTTCTTTCTTCAACCCCCAGATGGATTCCTGTTTTACAGGTTCATCTAATGACTTCCAGCTCCTTAATTTAATCATCAGCCCTTTCTTATCTTAATCACCCTGCCTCTGTTTGTAAAAAAAACACTGACTCCTTGCCCCAAGGGTACAAGCTGGGAGCAGCACCTCTCCTCTTCAGAGCTCACATTCCACACTAATTCTGTGCAGTTTTCACCTGGGAGCCCATCACCACTATGAAACTCTGCTCCTCCCCCCGCCTAATTAACGCCCTTGACTGGTCCTCATGTTTGTTCTTTGTTACCATAGCCCGGAGGCGCCCCAGGCAGAGCCAGCCACAACCGGAGCAAGGGTCCTCCTGCCCCAGGAGCTTAACAGCCAAGAGTGGGCCTCTCTAGGTGAGAGCAGGGCCTGAGGCTCCCTCATGTGACCCGCTTGGGGCTTTCCCCACCCAGCACTACCTCAGGGGCCGAGCAGCGACCGACCCCGGCTCCCGCTCTCCTTGCGCCGCGACGGCCGAGCCCGCTAGGGCCCAGGATAGGCGGGCGGGCGCCGGATCGGGCGGAACCAGAGACCTTTCTACCGGGCTGGGAAGAAGATCCGGAAATGAATGAGACAGTGCGAGAGCCTCAGGCCTACTCAGCGCGGGGTACGCCGGGAGTTGTAGTCCCCTCACGGCGCGGAGCACGCCGGGAGCCCTTGGCCTCAGGGAGCGGTGCTTCCGCAGTCCCGCCCAGCGCCCAGTCCCTTGCGCATGTGCCTGGGCTGCTGCGGGGGTCTATCCTGTCCGTAGGAGCTGGGCCATGGCAGCAGCCGGCGCCCCGTCGGGCGGAGGGGCTGGGAGCTCCAAGGTGGCGCCCAGCGTGGATTTCGATCACAGCTGCTCCGACAGCGTGGAGTACCTGACCCTCAACTTCGGGCCTTTCGAGACAGTGCATCGGTGGCGCCGCCTGCCGCCCTGTGACGAGTTCGTAGGGGCCAGGTGAGGCGATGAGAAATCGCGCCAGCTTGGGGACGGAATTAAGTGGGTGGCCAAGGTGGGGGTGGGGCTGAGAGTGGGCAGAGCCGAGTGGGCGGGGCAGCGCTAGGGTGGGGCGATGCTGAGTAGGCAGCTCAAGGGGTGGGGAGGGCCTGAGAGGGGGTGGGTCAGGGTGTTGTGTGGGGAGGGGGTGGGTCAGGGTGTTGAGTGGGGTGGGGCTGGAGAGGGGGTGGCACCGAGTGACCGGGTCAGGGTGTGGGGGCGGGGCCAGGACTCCCCTTGCCAGTGTCTGACAGACTCTCTCTCAGGCGCAGCAAACACACCGTGGTTGCCTATCGGGATGCCATCTACGTGTTTGGTGGTGACAATGGGTAAGTGCTACTGCCTTGCCTGGCCCGTGGTGTTGCTAGGCAGCTTCCCTACTAGCCCTGTCTTTTGCTATGCCTGTTAATATTAGGTGTATGTTACATAGCCACCCAGCTTTAGATTTAGCATGCTGTAGTGTGGAGACAACCTATAACTGTATAGCAGGGTGTTGGACTAGATGACCTCCTGAGGTCCCTTCCAACCCTGATATTCTATGATTCTATTGGTTATCAGGGTTTGGCACGTATGAGGTAATTCTAGACCTGTGGCTGCTGTTTGACACTTGCATTACGGCAGTGTACTAGTCAGCTCTTTATAATCACTATCCAGCTAGGGAAGAGCAACCTTTCCATTCAGTTGTAGACAAGCCACTCTTAACCAGTCTTTTGTCACCTCAAGATTAGATTGTTGCAATATAGGCTGCATCTTAAACCAGTCAGATCCTAATGCTTGTGCAGAATGCAGGGACGTGCTTATTGAGCAGGCCACCTCACTAGGAGCATGTGATGCCAGTGCTCTGGGCTCTTCACTGGTTGTCTGCTGGTCTCCTGGTGGAGCTCAAGAGGTGATCATAACTTATAAAGCCTAGGTTAGCCTACCTGAGAGAGTGCCTCTCTCCCTAGGTCATATTGCCTCAGCAGGGGTCTGTGAGCTGGAGTGCTCTCATTATAAAAGAAGGGGCAGTGACAAGTAGGGAATTCTCAGTGAAAAATCTGAGACTCTTGTTTCCCCATGTTGGTCTGAAATAGGCTGAATTTAGTGACCTTTTGAGCACACTGCAAAATCTATTTGCTCTTCAGGGTATTTGGAGAGAGCTGAAGGGTGTTTTCCCTACAGCTATGAAAAGGCAGGAAGGAGTTTCTGTAAATGGCTTGCTGAGTTCCTGTTTAATTGATTATTTAAATATTGCTGAGATGACTTTGTATTATTAATAGTGTGCTAGGGTTTCTAGAGCCTTCGATAGGTAGCTTTTAGTAATTTAAATAGAAATAACTTCATCATATCAGGTGTTAAGAGAAAGCTGGGTAGGGAACATTTGAGGTTTAGGATTTTTTATCTTGTATCTTTGCTGCCATCATCCACTCCTTGGTTCTTTTAGATTTAGAGTTAAAAGGTTTGTCTTTTCTCCCTGGGAACTGGAAATCCAGAGAGACACTCTAGCACAGTGTTTCTCAAATGCGGCCACCAGGGACTTTTCTTGCGGCCGTGGCCACAGCCTCTTGGTCAAAACAGCGGCCCCTCTCCTTCCCTGTTGTTCCTGGATGCACTGCCTTGGTGTTGGCTGCTGGGGCTGCAAGCAGGGGTTGGGCCCTGCCCCTGCTTTGGAGACAGATGGGGCATAACACTGGAGGAGCAGGCAGCTGGTGAGTTCCCCACCTTCCCAGGGGCGGTGGGGCTTAGGCTTTGGGCTTCGCCCCTGGGGTGGTAGACTCCAACTGCAGGGCTTCAGGCTCTGACTACATAGGAGCTGGCCCCGGGTTCTGGCTGTGCAGCTTCGGGCTCCATCCCCCCCAACCCCATCATCCCTGGCTCTTGCTGCCTACCCTGACCCCTCCTCCCCCAATCCATGTCTTAATTTGTCCACAGGCTTGCCAGGGCTGAGTCAGTCTGCTGTGAAAAGTGATACTTGTATGTTTGTTTACTGCTAGCTAATAAGTCTGCCATGAAAAGTGATATTAACAAACATACAAGTATCACTTTTCACAGCAGACTTACTAGCTCGCAATAAATATTTGGACATGTATATGTGTATATTTGTTTTTCCTAAAGCTAATTAAGTATTTTAGGAAAAAGTGTGACAGTGACCACCAGCAAGAGTTGGTGGCCGCACTCTGAAGCCACCAAAAAATTTGTCCTGAGAACCCCTGCTCTAGCATATATTAATTATTATGTAGTGTCACTATGAGAAGCAGCAATCAGGTCTCTAAATAACTTAGTAGCACATATCAGGCTTAGTCTTAGAGTTAGTGAAAATAAATTATCTTATTTCTTCCACGAAGAACAAATATAATCTAACATGGAATTGAAAGTGTTAGAGAAATACATAGAAACTGCTCATCTTACCCTGCCTATGTATGCCTAGCTTGAGCTTCTTCTTTATTACTCCTAGGGGAATTCTGCACCACTGTGCGTGCTCAGAATTCATGTCCCCTGCAGATTTCTTTGTTTCCCCGCAGAATAATTACTTCTGACGGGGAAGCAAAGGGAAGCCATAAGAGCGGTCATGCACCCCTCCTGAACAGCTCAGGCGCATTGTTTTGGGCGCGCAGAGCAGCCGGCGGAGAGGTAAATGACCGGAGGAGTGTGGGGCTGGGAATCCTACCCTGTATCAGGACTTCCTCTTCCTTCACGAGGAGTGGCCAGGGCCAGGTCAGACCCACCCCCAGAAACCTCCCCTGGCTGCCCACCCCCTTCCCTGCTTCCTGCTCCCATCGCTCCTATGCTGCAAGGGTAGGAGCCATTGTATGGGGAGCTGCTCCCCTGTCTGTCTAACCCCCGTTCATCTGCTGCATCTCTGCTGACCATCACCCCCCACACTCAGAACCCCCCATTGAGCCCCTCACACCTGAACCCCCACCTGCTGAGCCTCACCCCCTGAATTCGGAGCCCCCCTCCCGCCGAGTCCTCCCCTGCATCTGGACCTGTGCCAAGCCCTTGCATCTGGACTCCCACCCCTACATCCAGACCACCACCGCTGAGCCTCCCCACTCAAACCCACACCTCAATGAGCCCCATGCATCTGGACCAACCCGATGAGCCCCCCACACCTGGACCTCCACCCCAGTGAGCCCAGCCAGCTGCACCCAGAACCCCCCCAAGCCCCCCCCCCCCGCCCCCCCCCCCCCCCCCCCGTTGAGTCTCCCCCGCTGAGCCTGCCTCTGTGCTGAGCCCCAACCACCTTCACCTGGTCCTCCCTGCAGAGTCCCATTCCCCCTGCATCCAGAACTCCCTCACACCAAGCCACCTGCACCCAGATTGTGCCACACAGAACCCTCTCATCCCACACCTGGATCCCCCCACAGTAAGCCCCTCCACACTTTGATCCTGCTGGGCTGAGCCTGCCTGCCCCACACCTGTATCGGGGGCCAGGGTTGGGCGTGAGTGTGAGAGTCTGTCCCTCTCGCTCGCTATCTTGGTGCATCTGGTGTGGAGGGGCAGGAGCCCGGTGTGTTTGTGGGGCCGGCCTGGCCCTAGTGCTGTATCAGGTTCAGGTGCAGCCTCACTGCTGAAGTCCATGTCCCGGGGTGGGCTGCAGGGTGATCTCCCACCTCTGTGCAGCCAGTGGCCTGTACTGTCCACTGCCATGCTGGAGCCTCCATGTTTGTTTATTGACAAATGAAATATGCAGAATTTTGCAAATTTTAAAAATATTGGGTGCTGAATTTTTACTGCTGTGTTACTGGGCTGGCTTTTGGGAATCCCTCATTTTCTCTGACTCTCTCCCCTCCCAAGCCCACCATGATCTATCTGTGTTGGGAGCTTCTGGGGCTAGGGACACCACCCTGCACTGTCCTGAGGTTCCCTCCTCTAAGATCTACTACCTCCTGACCTTGGATTGGTAGATGCTGCCACCACCCAAGTGCAGAACCCCTTTGAGAGCCCAGGAAGGCGGACTTGGGAATTCCTACCTGTGGGGTACCCTCAAGCCCTTTCAACACCCCCCCCCCCCGGGGAAAGAGCTGAGAAAGAAGGGGGGAAAAAAAGGGAAATCAGCTGTTGCTAATTAAACATGTGCACAAAACTCTTAAAACACAAAAATCCAATTCTGTTCTTAAAAAAGGTAAATTTTATTTAAAAAAAAAAAAAAAAGATAGAAAATACAT